AGTAAGTGTTGCCGTGCGCACAAAACGAAAACGCTGCACACAACCCAAAAGTACTCCTCGAGGACCAATTGGGGAAAAACTTCAAAAAGGTTTATTCAAGGCGCATCAATACAAGGTAGTGTTGATTGATCAGCTGGTTAGATATTTTTGTCTCTACACTAGTACAGGAGAATGCCATCCAAGACGAAGTGGCGCAACTTTAGGATGTTCACAAAACGAAATGACGAAAATTATCTCCTATTCGCTTTCGTTTTGACATCCTCCTGTACCAAAAAGCAATAACAAAATACACGGGACTTTTACTTATATGCAATTGCCACCACCTTGTATGGATGCGCCTTGGGTTTATTACTGTATATACTGTGGCCAAGTGAGGTTCTCTCGTCCGGTATTGCTTCGGACATTGCCTTGCCTTGATCAAACCCGAAGGTGATTGTATGTGCATGTTATTATACATATGTATTCTACGTTTATTGTTCGTGTTTTTTTTTTTTATCGCAATAAAACGAATTGCTGACTAGCGAACCCTTTCGTATGCAAGATTTACTGCGAAGCGCAAGCAAGAGCGATACATTGGCACCCAACTTAGAGCCCAGCAGTTCGGAAGAAGAACGCGAAGTCATAGCAGAAGGCGAAGAAGACAAAATGGCTACGTTTTCGCCTGATCTTGATGATGCGGGTCTTTTACCCAGTGCACAGCACGTTTCCGTGGACAACGCGATCCATCGGCAGTGGAAGAGTTCATTGCTGCCATTACAGTTTACAAGGACATTGAAAAAATTTCTGACGCAGATGCCTTGCGCGCTATGCCACTTCTACTGGAAGAATACGCAGCGACCTGGTGGATCGGTGTGAAGGACACTGTGGCGATCTTTGAAGATGCAGCTGAGTTGATCCGAACAACATTTTCCCCTCCAATGCCCGATTGGAAAATTTATTTAAATATTTTTGAACAAAAACAACAAACGCGTGAAGCTACCGACAGTTTCATATGTAAGAAGCGACTACTGTTTTCGCAGTTGAGTGATACCATCAGCGAAGCAGTGCAGCTCAATATGATCTACGGTTTATTGTCTATTAATATAAGAGAACGAGTGCGTCGCGATAAAGTTTCCACGTTCGACGAATTAATAGCAAACTGTCGAGATGCAGAAATGATTTTGGCTGAAGCAAAACAGCTTACAATCGAATCTACCGATAAAAGCGAATCTGCGGAAGGGCCAAAAAGGTGTTCGTTTTCAGGTTACGTGGCCACACTGTATTTAGATGTTTGCTTCAAAAAGAAAAAACAACAACAGTCGCAGCAGGCCCAACAACAACCAACTATAGCAGCAAGCTCCAGTGCAGTACCGTCGCATTCCAAACGCGCGGCCGTTTTTGCATGCTATGGCTGTGGTGCACCAGGTGTGTACCGACCAAATTGCCCAAAATGCTGTGGGCATAGTAAAGAAAGCCCTCAATATCTGTCGTTTTAATTGCGTAGCTACCACTGTCGTTGGCAGATCTATTCCATCGGTCCACATTGCGATGTTTGGAAAGATAAGCAACAATCAGCATTTGGTGAGCTGAAACAACTCCTGACGACATCACCCATTTTGAAGCAAGCTGACGAAAGCTCGCCATTTATTCTAAAGACTGATGCCAGTGGATATGCACTTGGGGCAGTTCTACTCAAGGGGGAGGGTACAGATGAACACTCTATTGAATATGCCAGTAGACTACTGTCCAAGGCTGAACAAAATTATTCCACAATCGAGCGAGAAGCTTTAGCCATCGTGTATGCCGTACAGAAATACCGTGGTTATATCGAGGGGTCCGAGGTAACTCTGATTACGGATCACCGACCGTTGAAGTGGTTAATGACACTTAAATCACCAACTGGACGCCTAGCTCGATGGGCATTAATTCTATAGCCGTACAACATAGACATCGATTACAAACCGGGAAATACCATTGTGGTGGCGGATATGCTATCCAGGCCACCTTGCGAAGGAAAGCATGACCCAGACGAACTCTGCCATATATGCTCCTTTGATGTTGAACTCCCGCGACGAAGAGCGAAAGAGTTTCGAGAAGGCCAACTTGGTGACCCAGAGTTGAGAACTATCATCGGCTGTTGCGAAAGGAAGACAGATGACGCCGAGTATTGGGCCAAAAGAGGGTGTACTATGAACGATGGAGTACTCTTCTGTTACCACGATGAAGACAATGAAGACGCGCAACTGGTTATCCCTAAAAATGAGCGTCCAGCCATATTGGACCATTACCATAATAAGGACACAGCAGGCCATTATGGAATTGACCTAACTTCCTGCAAGATTACTTCGCGCTACTATTGGCCTGGTATCCGGAAGGACATCGAAACCCACGTCAAAAATTGCATTGACTGCCAACGCTACAAGGCCACAATGGGGTTATATCAAACGGTATAAAGCAAACAGCGCTTTGAAGCAATTGCTATCGATTTGTTTGGACCATTGCCTCCCGACGCAAATGGGCTACAATGGATCTTCATCGCAGAAGACATCTCCAGCAGCTGGGTGAAGCTTTCTGCATTACCCGAAGCTACCGCCGAAAACTGCAAAAATTAGCAATTGATCCTGCGCTATGGTGTCCCGAGGAAGGTCATCGGCGACAACGGAGTCCAATTTGTATCCTCAGTGATACAGAAGGTTTGCTTTTGCGTCAACATAGACCAAGTGTTTACGCCTGTTTACCATCCACAAGCGAACTCCGTTGAAAGAAAGAAACGTGATCTGAAGACACAGTTGGCGATATTGGTTGGAAAACAGCATCGAAATTGGGCAGAAAAGTTGCCAGCCATACGCTTCGCCATGAACAACACTCGCTGCCAAAGCACTGGTTACACTGCAGCTAATCTAACTTTTGCCCGCGAGCTGAGAACTATTGACGATGTTCAGCACGACCTGAGAGCTGTTATTCATTCCGAAAACTTTATTGCGGAAATCACGCCACACTTAAGAACTCTTGCTGAGTTGGTCGCATCTGCTCGTGAATTTGAGCAAAGACAGCAAAATGCCAACAAAGGTCTCACCAATCCACGAAGACGTAACCAAGAAAACTTAGAAACTGGTTCCAACCTTCTAGTCACTACTCAAGTTTTGAGCAACGCTTTCAACGGTAGGGCATCCAAATTCATTCCAAGAAGAGACGGCCCTTATGTCATCATCGCAAAACAAGGAACTACTGCTTATGTAATCGCGCATGAAGATAACCTCCAACAACCCTTAGGTACCTACCATGCCTCATCGTTAACTCCATATCGAAGTGCTAACAATGCTTCCGAAGAGCCAGTCAACAGGATCCGACGCCGAGGACGTCCCCCGAAAGACCACTTAGTAGGAATGCCCCATCGGATCGATTTCAGCATCCTAGGGGGAGATTGAAGCAATCTTATATTTCTTGAATTATACATTTTCCTAATTGTTCAGCATTTACAGTAGCTCTTGTTGCTCTGCAGAGTATATAAGTCGCGTTGCTGATCTTAAAACTTCAATCGGCTTATAGCCCAGTTATGCATACTTAGCTCAGCATGAGAGTTGTCACATAAGAATCTGTTAAACGGATTTGCGTGTAAGCGGTTACCCAACGCATAGCACTTAACATGTAGAATTCTGTTTGGGTTCAGTGCAAGTATGCATAACTGGGCTATTAGAGCTTACGCCAAGTGAGGTTCTCTCTTCCGTATTGCTTCGGACAGTGCCTTGATCAAACCCGAAGGTGATTATGTGTGCATGTTATTATACATATGTATTCTACGTTTATTGTTCGTGTATTTTTTTTTATCGCAATAAAACGAATTGCTGACTAGCGAACCCTTTCGTATGCAATATTTACTGCGAAGCGCAAGCAAGAGCGATACAAGTTCCATATATAAAACATTTTACACCATTTATTTGAAGTAAATCGGAGTATATTTTTACATATAACATAGTTTCCATTTAACTCATAAAGTACATATTTCACTACAAATATTTCTAAGATCACTTCGAATTACAAAAATAGCGCTAATTTATTGTATTGAAGTATAAAATATTCTAACTATTACGTTCATGTTTACTTATAAAGCGCATAACAATATTTCTCTCGCCATTTATCCGAANATATAAAATATTCTATTACGTTCATGTTTACTTATAAAGCGCATAACAATATTTCTCTCGCCATTTATCCGAAGTTAAAATTTTTAACCACATTATTTTGCTGCACAGCACCTTGAATGCGGCAAAACAGTTGCTTGCAACCCTCAAGTCCTTTATAGGTACCAAATTAACAGCCACAACAACAAAAACCTTTTCGACTGGTATACTGTGCACATAACATTTCACAAACCGAATTACCAAGAAATAGAAACTCACCCGGATGCGATATAGAAATGAAAACCAACACGGCTGCATTTTCTTGGTACACAACACAAGCGCTCAGAGCAATCTAATCCGCAAAATTATTCTGTGCAAAATAAGACTTGAAGAGTTTTTAAATATGATTATCACATTACCTAATTAGCGCACACTATTTTGTTTATTTTTAGTAGAATATAATTTTATTATCTCAGACTTTTTCTATGTTTTCTAATATTCGTTCCTTTGGCATGCAAAAGCAACCATGCGCTCAATTTATTGATGGAAATTTGGTCCCCATAAAGGACTTTCACCACGAAACAGCTATAAAAACAAAAACCTTTTCTACTGGTATACTGTGGTGGCATGATGCAATAATACAAGGTGTTATCGGCTGGCAGCTTCTCGCTCTAATTCCGCCATATTGACTGCCTTAGGTGAAACAGTGCTCCTTCTTTAACAATTCTTTGCCTAATAATATAGTTCAATGTTTTTTATTTTTTCTCAGTATACACATTTTGTTTTCTTAGAAAGGTATTTCATCTTATTTTATTAATTAATATATTAATAATTAATTTCATCTTATTTTATTATTAAAATTTCTTCCCGTTTTTCTTCTTATCTTCTTTCTGAGCTAAGGCGGACTGAAATGAATGAGGTAAACTCGAACTCTCTGCCCCCTCTCATCCACACAAAGCCGGTTTTAGGCGGACTGCAGCGGTCCAGTGTGCGGAGGCCCAATGACCTACATACATTCGACGCGGTTTTGAGTTGGTTTTGGTTGAAATGGTTAACCCGCCGTCAACGAACATATTTTTTGTCACACCGTGAATGAACTGGGTGTGTAACACCCGAAGAAAAATATATGTGTATATAAAAATACAACTACAGTTGAGCGAATTTTTGTATGTTGTTTATTGTGTTGATAATATTTGTGTTGAAAAATAAAAAATAAAAAATAAAAAAGCGTATTCAGTTAATTTGACATATGTTTTGTTTTTTTATATTAAAAAATTAATACAAAATTAAGTGCTTTCAGCTATATTATATTTTAAATAAGACGTAGTGTAAAAACTTTAAAAATGGTTACTAAGCATTTATAAATACAAGTATTCAAAAATAGTTACATACTTAGATAAGTTTTTTTATTCGATAAGACTCATTGCCTATGAAAATTCACACTTATGAAAATTCTTACGTCGTCAATGAACATGGGTGTGAGACACCCGAACGAAAGTTTTCGACTATACACACGCACTTGTTCGCGACCAATCAAAGACTAAATACTAAATGATTAGCCCCAAAACCTGACTGCTCCTTAATGAGTATTTTATTTAACTCAATATATGTAGTTTATTAGTTGATTCCAGTATTTTTTCTAAGTTGGGAAGGGTGTTTTTGGCATGATTTCCTCCGATTTTATGGTGTTTTTGACCTTCTTTATTGGGACAATGGTAGAAGTTTTCCATTCTGTCGGAACTATTCACAACTGAAGGCTTTTATTCACTAATAGGGCGTAAAAGTGACCCCTGTATTCAACGGAGTCTTTGATTACACCCTCGGATAATAAATTATTTCCACCAATTTTTATCTTGTACTTCTTCACTATATGGATAATATCATCTGTGCTAATCTCACAAAATTTAAAGGTACCTTGATTATTTTCCTGTTGAATCTGATCATAATTAACATTTTCTATATTCCTATTAATATCGATGATACTATCAACAAAGAAATTTTACAGCCTTCTGGGCTGTAGCTTTGGGGGTTACACTTGGTGGAAGCGCCGGTGGCTGGAGATTCTAGCAGTATGGCTGGTCGGATGGAGGCGGCCAATGAACTCGCAGGCTGTTGGCGGATGCGTTGGTGGCTGGACGATCGGTGGAATGGCAGGCGGCTGGTGGATTTTCGGTCGAGGATGCAACTGGTTGATCGGTGGGTGGTTGCGAGCAGGCGGTGGACTCGGCTGTATGGCAGGGTGTTGAAAGCGGCTTGTCGCGCTGGGCGGTTGACCGACTGGCGGCGAGGAATTCAGCGGGGTTCTAGGTCGCACTCGCGAAAGTATTTTACCGAAAGTGTGTCGATGAGACTGTTAGCGCACGCACCCAATGTGGTGATAACTACGATTTGCTTCTTGCAAAGGATAACACGCCAAAAGTGCAATTTAGATAAAGTACAATTTATTTAGCGGATTTAAAATTCACGAGCAATTTGAAAACTTTGCGAATGATATGTATATCTATATGGCACAGTCGGTAAAAACGAGCAGAAACCGGTTAGATCACGGAAAAAAGATTGCTTGAACCGAAAAATTATGGTTTTTCGTTGAAAGATGTATACTCGTATACATACAGCGCTGAGTCTGTAAACTTATGTCAAAGTGCTGAATTGNGAAGCGTAAAAACGAGCAGAAACCGGTTAGATCACGGAAAAAAGATTGATTGAACCGAAAAATTATGGTTTTTCGTTGAAAGATGTATACCCGTATACATACAGCGCTGAGTCTGTAAACTTATGTCAAAGTGCTGAATTGTGCTGACACCGACGTTGCCATAGGATGCTAACTAACATTTCATATTTCATTTACGATATTTCATTTACGATATTTCATACAAATGAATAATAAAGGGAATTTCAGTTTAAAATAGTTTGGTTATACAAAGTTAAAGGTTTCTTATAAGTTAAGCATTTTACAAAGCTAAGTGCTAGATACAGCGACCCCGCTTGGACATCCTGCCCCTCTAGGCGCACTAAGCGAATATGCTGCTCTGAATCTCCTTCAACGTACGGATTGCGTTTCGTACCAGGAGCTTGGTGGTGTAACCCTTAATTGCTTGGGTTTTCGAATGAAACGACTTCTTGCGGTTACTGGTTGGTAGGCGCTGCTTGGACGATTGCGTACGATTCCTGTCTCCGTGGCGCTGCTTTGGTGGTTTCAGGCGCTGGCTGTCTACTGGGCGCGGCTTTGGTGGTTTCGAACGTATCGGGTTTCGATGAAGGAGGGTGTGGTGTAGCTGTCCATACACTCTACAAGTTGCGGCTGAGGAGCACTCCTTGCGCTGAAGCGACAATGCAAGGCAATTGGTGCAAAAGCCGTGCGCTCGTGCGACAAGGTATCGCTGCCCAGGTTGCATGGCCCGAAAAACTCGACAGGCACGCGGCGCGTGATGCCGAGCACATAATCGGCATTGTTGGTAGTCATCCTTCTTTGGCGGCGGTTCGACGACCGGGTCAGGCGGTTACACCGTGTCGCGTGTGGCGAAGTGCTGCGTGAGGTGTACGCCTGGGTGTTGGTCTTGGTGCTGGTATGGGTGGCAGCCTGGTACTACTTCCGGTGTCGATCTCTATCTCCATCTGCAAGATACATGTGGTCGAATGGTGGCAATTAGTGGGGAGATTTTGTCAAGCTAATTGGCTGTAGAGCAAATGGGATTGGGGCATATGTATTTATAGAATGATTGTGTACACATTGATCAAGGGAGTGTGCTAACAGCGGCGATAGGCGAGAGAAGTTAACAGTGCGGCAGTCGAGCCAACAAGAAGAGTGGGCTTGAAGGTAGGTTTTTAAAGTGACTGATATTCTACAGGTCTGGGTAGATCGTTTGCGGGTAGGAGGCACAATTTTACAATGGGTCGTGTTAGCGTGCCGGTTTGGGTGCGCACGTCGACTACCCTAATATGCCCGTCTTTGCCGTGATGTGTTTTTACTATACGGCCTAGGCGCCATTCAGTGGGGGGTAGATTATCCTCCTTTATGAGGACATATTGATCCACTATCGGCTCTAGTTGTGAGTTTTTCCACTTATATCTTTTTTGCAGATCTGTAAGGTAGTCTTCCTTCCAACGGCGACTGAACGGCGACCTTCACCCTTTCCCACCTGTTAACTAACGATAGATCTTGGTGGTTCACTTCAGGGAGTGATAAAGAGTGAGGTGCCACGTAGAAAGGGGCCAGGAGTAAGCGCCGTGAAATCGGTTGGATCTTGGGAGAGGGATGAGATTGGCCGGGAATTTAAAACGGCTTCTATTCTAATTAAGAGGGTAGTAAACTCTTCGAAGGTAAATTTGTGGGTTCCAGCGGTTCTTTTGAGGTGGAGTTTAAAACTTTTAACCGCGGATTCCCACAAACCACCCATATGGGGGGCACTGGGGGCGATAAACTGCCAGTTGATCCCTTGAGGTGAATATTTCTGAACGACTTCTTGTGACATTTCTTTCATAAAGTCTATAAATTTTTTCTCCGTTGCTCTTTTGGCTCCTACAAAGGTTGTGCCATTATCGCTCATGATTTTGGCCGGATAGCCACGGCGTCCAACAAAACGAGCAAATGTAGCTAGAAAAGCATTTGTGGCGAGATCAGAGCACAGCTCCAAGTGGACCGCCTTTGTCGTAAAGCATACAAAGACGGCGACATAGCCTTTAACTAAAGTATGCGATCTTAGCATTGAGGCCTTTATTTGAAAAGGCCCCGCAAAATCCACACCGGTGTCCGTAAATGCCGGAGAAAAGGTGCACCGCTCAGATGGCAAAGCTGTCATTATTTGGGAGCGCATTTGCTGTTTGTGGACGGTGCAGGGTTTGCATTGAAATATGCATTTCTTTATGAGAGGCTTGAGCCGGGGGATATGGAATTCCTGTCTGGTGACCTGTTGCATCAGACGTATTTCTGCGTGGAGAAGCAAGAAGCGTAGATAGAGGGTGGAGAATCGGTATTTCTCGGGAATGATTATGGGATGTCGCTCATTATAGCTTAAGGTGGCGTGAGCTAATCGACCGTTGACACGGAGTAGGTTCTGCTTGTCGATGGACGGATTGAGAGTAAGCAAAGGACTCCGCTTATCGATTGGTTTTGAATTTTCTAAGCAGGCCCTTCCGCGAGGAAAATGTCGAGTCTGCGCCAAAGCTATGAGTCGGTATTTCGTCGTACGGAGTTCATCGTGGGTGAGGGACACAGGGTGAACAGTACGAACTCCTTCTACTCGACGTTGCAGGGTGTTTATAAGTCGGAAGACATACGCCATTACCCTGAGGGCGCGCGGAAATGAGGAGAACCGATCTAGAATGTCAGGCTCTTCTTAAGCGGCATGGAGTGCCTGCACTCGTCGAGTTTCCGGGGCGTTGATATCTCGCGTTGAAGATTTTGGCCAGGCTTCGGTGGGGCTTGTTAGCCATTCCGGACCATTCCACCAGAGGGAGGAAGCTGCTAAATCTAGGGGTTTACATCCTCTAGTTCCCATATCAGCTGGATTGTCCTTGCTGCGCACGTGTCGCCAGGTGGCGTTTCCAACTAGGTCGATGATTTGCGCAGTGCGGTTGGAAACAAATGTTTTCTACGTATGGGGTGGTTTTTCTAGACATGCTAGAACGATTTCGGAATCCGACCACATGATAAGCCTCTTAGTGGAGACATTAAGATGGGTTTGGACAACCGCGATGAGTTTGGTTAGTAGGAGAGCTCCACACAATTCGAGAAAGGGTAGGCTGATGGTTCGTAGGGGTGCCACTTTGCTTTTAGCTACCAAAAGACGAGAGGTTACTTGGGTGTTATGGGTACTACGAACGTATATGGTGGCGCAATATGCCTTTTCCGAGGAGTCGCAGAAGGCATGGAGTTCAACATGACTATCAGGGATATAATTTACCCATCGAGGTATTTGGATGTTTGAGATGGATTGTAAATTATTAGCGAACTTTGTCCATTTTGTCAGACGGAGGGGTTTGACCTGCTCGTCCCAGTCAGTCCCGTCAAGCCATAGCTCCTGTAAGAGAATCTTGGCTTGCATCATTATCGGCGTAAGCCATCCTGCGGGGTCGAAAAGTTTCGCCACAGATGATAGGATTTGCCGGGATCAGGGATCAACTGTATAAGAGAAGAAGACAGTGAGGGCGTTCCACTGAATCCCCAGAGTCTTCGTAGTGCTTGTCTTTTCAAACTCGAGGAAGTTGGTGTCCAGCAAATCTTCCTTACTTATGTCTTTCAGAATA